AGGGAGCACCAAATAAAGGTTGTTAGGAGGATCATCCCAGAATGGAAGAAGCATGCTGAAAGTAGACTATAGACCAAATCTGATTGCTGCTCAATGCCTCTTTTGCAAACCACAGCACCCAAAAAAAAGAGAGAGAGAACAAAAGGGAATGCCCTGCCACAGAGGCAGGGTAGGATGGGGGACATGGGGGGTAGGAGGGATACTGGGATCTGTGTTGGTGGAAAATGGGCACTGGTGGAGGGATGGGTGTTCGATCATTGTATAATTGAAACCCAAGCACAAAAGTTTGTAAGTCTACAACTGAACCTCATGGTGTTTCAGTAATAAAAATTAAAAAAAAAAAACTCTGGTCTCTGTGCCTTTTGTGACATGGGCTTATAGATAATGCAAAAGGAAAGAGAATGTTCATCTGCTTCAAGAATAAATACCACTGAAGAAACTTAGCTTCATTGAGGTTAAATACCTTGCCAAGTCCACACAAGTATGAAGGAGGGATTCAGGTTCATATTTTATAATTCTAATTCCATTGTTCTTTTCACTTATATTCTAATTATTGTATACACTGTGCCTTAATTGCTAATTACAGCTGTCTGCCATTTGAACATCTTCAAATTGAGAACATTTTCTTTTCCTTCTTCCCCATCCTTGAAAGCCCATTGACTGGTGTGAGGTTGATATGATAACAAGGAGTGTTCCATTTTAACCACTATTTTTCCACTTTATTTAAGACCACTTTTCAACCTCAAGTTAAATCTAAACTGCTTTCAGTTGTTTTTTGCCAAAGAACATGGAAATTGGTTCCAGCAAAGATGTTTCCTGTGAATCATAAAGGTCTTGAATGATGTTGTATATTAATCTGTTAGCCCCAGTATATTATCCATGAACCAAAGGACCTCTGTGAGAAGCACTGTAAATTAAACTTTATTTCACTCATGTTTTTGAGGAAACTCAAACTTCTCAATATTATTCCTGAGTGCAGACATCCTCTTTGAACTTTATTCTTGCCTCAAAACTAAAGAACTTAAAAACTCAGAGACACATCCCTTTCCTTCTTTTAAGACATGAAAATCATTGAATTACTGAAAAAGTTTCTGAATGTTCAGCAATTTTTATTTCCCATCCTATACTCATGTCTCCCCAACCCAATCTAAAGTTTGCATGAGGACTGGATAACAGGAAGTCCTGGTAAGCAAATTGCCTAACTCGTTTTTCTTTTAATGTGAGCCATCTGAAATTAGCCCAGTGCAGGAATTTCAACATCAAACATATTTGAGTCAAATGAACACATCTGTTTCACTTGAATGTTCCAGATGCTCAGAGGATCTGGCTGCATCTAATGTTTGAGTCTAATAGAGCCGGTGGTCACTTCCCCAAGGGTATGGTTCGACGAGCTGGTGAAATTCCAGTCCTGGCCTATTGATATATATTTTTTTGTTTTCCGATCCATAATAATCATGGCACCTGAAACATATGCTTCTTACTCTGAAACTCGAAGAAGCTCTTGGGCCAATTGTAGATAATTGTACTGCTTTTAATGGTAAGATTCTCCCATATCATCTGGCACCTCTGTTCTAGAGTTAAGTGAATGATGTTAGGGTATTTATTTAGTAACTTTATATGAGGAAATGAGATACCCTCATTGATACATCCCCTAGTTGGTAGAGTCGGAGTTCTGTGCCAAGTCAACGACTTGATTCTGGGAAAGAATAAGGAGAGTCAGTGGAACCACATTAAAATTAGCTTGATTCTGTTTCCAGAGAGCACTGGTCCTGAGCTACTGTGCTATTTCTTATGCTGGGGCAAGGGGATGAGGTCATATTTAGGTTCTAGACTGTTGTCTTGACCTTTGAAGGAACACAGTAGCTGCAATGTTCATATACCTTTTCAATATAATTCTGATGTAGTAACAGTAGAAACAAATCAAAACACAAGTATGGTGTGAGGTAACAGCCTCATATGTACTTGGTTGAAATTCTCCTTATTGTGAAATTAAGGTAACTTGGAGTATTGTTACCCCTGGATTAAAGATCAGTCTTCTCATTAATTCACTTTGTCACCCATATTTACTGAATAACTTATTATGCTGACATTGGGAGTAGAGATAATATTTGGTCATGGTCCATCAAAGAGTTCTGAGGCAAGATGGTGAGCTAGGCAGTGTATAAGAAACCTCAAAAGAGAGATTTGTTCAGGTGGACTGGTAATGGCTCAGTGTCAAAAGTGCCTGCTTTGGATTCATGAGGCTGTAAATTTAATCTCTGGTGAATCCAGCATGTGCTGAGCAGGGTTCCAGCAGCTGTGCTATGTGGGACCTTTGGCAACAAACAGAGTGTACAATTTCTGGCTCACCATAAGTGTACACGTGCACAACCAAGTGTGTATATGGCCTAAGGTCATCACAGTGACAACAAAGGGAAGGGAAGGGGAAAATTATAAAATGGGGGCTGGAGATATGACTCAAAAAAGGAAAAGCACATGCCTTGTCTGGGGAAGATTTGAATTCATTTCACCACAGAATCTTTCTTACCCCCAAGCACCATCAGATGTAGTCCCAGTGGCCCCCAGCACTGCTGGTCCTCAAACACCCGAAAAAGAGAATTTAAAAGTTGGTGCTAAGAGAGATTTACATTGAGCAGTGATGGGAGCGCAACAGAGCTATGTTAACTCAAGAGTCAGAATTAGAAGTTTCCTGATACTTGGGTATATTTGGGTCTGAGTCTTTTTTTTCTTTTTGAGTCACACCCAGTGATGCATAGGGGTTACTCCTAGCTCATGCACTCAGGAATTTCTCCTGGCGGTGGTCAGGGAACCATATGGGATGCTGGGAATCAAACCTGGGTCGGCCGTGTGCAAGGCAAACGCCTTACCCACTGTGCTATTGCTCCAGCCACGGGTCTGAGTCTTAAAGGCGAGAAAGCCAAAGAAATGAATGGCAGTAGTAACCTGAGGCAAGAGCAGGAAACTGAGATCCAAGTCCTCTTAGAATTCAAAGGTAGGGGTTCTTACTGAAGAATACGCAGAGGAATAGTATGGTCAGATTCAGGCTAGGCCCCTAAAAGGAAAATGTGGAATTGAACGAAAAGTTGCCAAGAATTTAGAGAAATGAACTCAATCTTTGGGAAGTTTGCAGCAGGACATGGTGGTGGTGGTGGTGGTGGTGGTGGTGGTGTGTGCGTGTGTGTGTGTTGTGTGTGTGCGCGCACGCATGCGCACATACATAAGGACTGAATCTGTCTCTGTGCCACTTCAGTTTCTAAAATGGCAAAGTGGAAAGAATATTCATGGTTGTCTAGACTAACTTTGCATTTTATACGTGAGGAAACTGAGAAAAGAAAGAAAAGAAAGGCTTAACCAAAGATATATAGCATAATGGGGTACATGTTTGTGTACATACATACATATATATGTGTACATATATACATACATACATACTGCTGAATATGTGTGTATATAAATATACAGTATACATGCATTCATGTGTATAATCACATATATACATATGTACATATCTACACATACACTCAAATACAACTGAATGTTCTTTTCCTGTAGGGGCGAGAAGGGCTAGACCCCCCACTATAGTGACGGTTACAGGAGAAACCACAGTATGGAGTAGGGAAGGTCAAAAGACATTAGTGAGAGAGTGAATTGATCTGGGAAGAAGACTGTAGAAACATCTACTCTCTACAGTATATTGTAGACAGTCTACAGTAGATTGATTTCACTTCTTTTTTAAATTTATTTTTTATTAGTGAATGACTGTGAGGTACTGTTACATACTTCCAAATGTTCGTGTTTGTGTTTCAGTCATACAGTGATCGGTTACCCATCCCTCCACCAGTGCCCATTCTCTACCACCAATGATGATTTCACTTCTTTTGTGCTATGAATAATGCTGCTATAAACATGAATACATTCTTTAAAACAAATATTTCTAATTAGTTTTTTTGTGTTGTTGTTTTGGGGTCACACTTGGCAGTTCTCAGAGATTCCTTTTTTGCACTCAGGGATCACTCCTGGTATTCTCAGGGAACCTTGTAGGATCAAACCCAGACCAGCCATGTGCAAAGTATATACCCTCCCTGCTGTACTATCTCCCCAGCCCCAACACATGAGTTCTTATATGAATATATTTCTCATTTTATATCTAAGGAATATATCTAAGGGATACATAAGGTATGGTTTATATCTAAGGGATAAAATTATTAGATAATGTGGTAGCTCTATGTTTAACCTTTCGAGAAGCTTCCAGTATTTTCCAATGAGACTAAGCCATTTTATATTCCCACCAGTGACAATGTATGACTTTCCAGTTTCTCTACATCGTCACTAACACTCATTGCTCCTTTGTTATTATAATCATATTGTAGTAATGGGATAATATGGAATGTTCCATATTCCATAGTGAATATTAAATAATTTCTGGTTGTAGTTTTCATTTATATTTCCTTGATGACTGGTGGGGGTGGTGGGAGGGATACTGGGAACATTGATGGTGGAGAATGGGCATTGGTGGAGGAATGGGTACTCGGTCACTGTATGACTGAAATGTAAGCACAAAAATTTGTAAGTCTGTAACTCTATCTCATGGTGATTCATTAAAAATAATAAAAAATAAAAGAGAAGAGAGTTCCAAATTAAAATTGGACTCTAAGTCTCCTATAAAAGTCAACAAATGCCAAGTGATGTCCATGGGTCACACACCTGGAAGTTATTTTGAAAAGCCATTTAGCATTTAGCACTATAGCTTTAAATGACTTACTGTTACTGACTGCCTTTTTATACCAGCTCTATGTATCTCTCCTTTAATTTCAATGCTTACATAAAAAAATAAAGTGTAATGTACTTTGATCATCAAAAAATATCTTTTTAATATACTTACTGACCAGTTGTTGTTGTTGTTGTTGTTGTTTTGAAGAAATGTTTGTTCAGATCATTTGCCCTTTTTTTTAATTGAATAATTTGTTTTACTTTATGTTCTTTTGATTTGGCTTGTGCAGGATGCTGACATGCTAACTGGTGATGAGAAAGTATGGAAAGAAGTTCAAGAATCCCTGAAAAAAATTGAAGAACTAAAGACACATTGGCGTATCCTTTGACCTGGTTATGCTGCTGAGATTGCTTCCTTCTTCACTGGAGTCTGGGATTAATGAAGCCATGTTAAGATTTTTCTGTTTTTGTTGTTGGGCCACATCTGGCAGTGCTCAGTGCTTATTCCTGGCTTTGTGCTCAGGGATCTCTTCTTTGAGGCCAAGGAGACCATGGGTGGTGCCAGTTATCAATCTAGGGTCAGAATAACACTCAGAGCACAATCAGGTAGAGCCTAGGCTGCTTCTACTGTACCATTGTGCATAAATTTTGCAAGGAGTATGCCCCAGTTTTCCAAGCATTGCTGAAAATTGCCCCTATTGGTCTTTTCCCATCTTTTGTGTATGTGTGTGTGGTGCCATGGATAGAAACCAGGGACCATGAATAAAAGACAAGCACTGTACTTCTGAGCCACATCCTCAAGCCCTCATATTTTCTTATAGCTAAGTAGTTTTCCATTGTGTATATAAATTACATCCTTTTTTTAAATTCACTCATCTGTCATTTGGCACATGGTTATTTCCATATCTTGGTTATTGTAAATGACACTACAGTGAACAAAAATCTATGTGCATATGTCGTTTTGAATTAATGTTTTTGTATTCTTCAGGTAGCTACCTGGGAATAGATTTCTGTATCATGTAATATATCTATTTTTAATATTCTGAGAAATCTCCACACCATGAAAATGAACCAATTTACATTCTGAGGCTGAACTAATTTACATTCCCAAGTACATTCCCAGTACATGGAAGTTCTTTTTTCTCCATATCCCTCCATCACTTGTTGTTTCTGACCTTTATGATATTCGCCACTCTTAAAGGTGTGAGATTATATCTCATTATGATTGTTTTTATTTTCATTTTTCTGATAATCAGTGATAACTAGAGGGTTGTTCTTTTGTGTTTTAGTGGGGTTTTTTGGTGTCTTCTGGACATTTGTATGTGTTCTTTGGTGAATTGTCTCTTCTGTTTAGTTTTCCCCATTATTGTTTTTACTGTAAGCATACTTGTTTTAATCTTGGTAGGGATAAGGCAATACATCAAGACATGCCTATTATTGCAAAAGTTTGCATTATGTACTTACATGTATCACTTAATCACTTAATCACTTAATCCCTGTTATTCATCGATTTATTCAAGCGGGTGCCAGTAACGTCTCCATTCATCCCGGTTGCGTGCTAGCGTAGCCCAATGGTATCTGTTCGTTTTAGGAACATGTAGAGCCTCAAACCGATCATTTAGGGTCTTGACGAAGAAGTCTGACCATCTTATAGGTGGGCGTCCACGTGATCTTTTGATGTCTCGTGGAATCCAATCAGTAATGGCTCTAGTCCAGCGGTTGTCTGTAAACCTCATTACGTGTCCAGCCCATCTGATTTTTGATGTCTTGGCAAATGAGACAGCGTCCCTGATTTTTGAGCATTGACGAAGATCAGAACTCCGGATTCTATCTCTCATTTGAGTGATATGTATACATATATACATGTATACATTTTTGAAATTGTTTTATTTTTATAAAGTTGTTCATAGTAATTCATTACATTTAATATTTGAACACCAATCTCTTCACCATTGTACCTCCCACCACCATATTTCAAATGTTTCCACCCCAAATCCCAAACTGTGCCCCCAAAGCAGAACAGAAATAATCAATTTTGTATAGGGAAAAGTACCAAAGATTGTTGTATTGCCTTCTTCTTTAAACTGCAGCAAATGTGGTGTGCTACTCTCTTCTGGGAGCTCTAGTTGTGAGTCTCTGTATCATGGCCATTACTGAGATTATATGGCACCAGGGGCATTTTGTGTGTGTGACTGCCAAGCTACCACCAAAACTAGGGAGATGGGGGAAGGTCACTCATTCCCACTCCATGTGAGCCTGGCGATTTCAGTCATAGGTCCCGAATACCTGGGTTTTTCTGCAGATTTACTCACGGATGAGTTTCATCCGAGCCTGTGGAAAGTGGCCATGAGCATGGTGGCAACTGAGTTCTGGGGGTTTTTGGCAACCATCCTCCCCATTTTGGGATGGGTTATTTTCTTATTTTCAATTTGTGAGCTTCTATATATTTCAAAATTAGCCCTTTGTCAGATTTAGGGTGTTCAAATATTTTCTTTCATTCAGTAGGATTTTTTAAAAATTTAACTCACATTTTCTTTCACTATTCAGATGATTTTGTTGTATATAATTCCACTTGCTCATTTTTGCTTTAGATTCTTTTGTCATTGGAGGTGAATCCCCAAGGGCATCAGTGAAGTCAGTGTCTGAGAGTATTTTTCCTACCTTTTCTTCAATGTATTTTATGTGTATGGGTCTGACATTCAAGTCCTTAGTTCGTTTTGAGTTAACTTTTCTTCCTAAGTGTGAGATAGTGATCCAGTTTTATTCTTTTGCATTCAGATAAGTATCTGTCCAGTTTCCCCTCACATAATTTATTGAAGAGACTTTCATTTCTCCATTTTATGCTCATAGCCCCTTTGGTGTACATTAACTGTCTAAATAAATGAGGATATATTTCTGCGCTATCAGGCTGGCCCATTTACTGTATGTATGTTTTTATTCCAATGCCACATGGTCTTGATTTTTATAACCTGTAGTTATAATCTGAAGTAGGGGAGTCTGGTATCTCCACACTTCTCTTATCTCAAGATTGTTTTGGCTCTTTGAGGTCTTTTCTGGCTCCATATAAATTTTAGAATATATTTTTTCTGTTTTTTTGAAGAGTGGTATTAATACTTTTAAAGGGACTGAATTAAATTTGTATACAGCCTTGGGTTATAGTGGCCATTGAAACAATATTAAGTTTTCCAACTACTGAGGATGAAATATCTTTGCATTTCCTTATACCCTTTTTTTTATTAGTTTTAACAGTGGCTTTTAATCTTTAATGTACAAGTCTTTTTTTTTATAATTTATTCCTGGACACTGTAAATTTAAAAACTTTAAATTTAAAAACTCTTGCTTCCTTAAAACATTGGTGGAGAGTGTGGGGTTAGAATACTGTATGCTTGAAACTTTATCATTAACAGTATTATTAATTGTGATGAAATTAATGTTTTTTTAATTTTTTCTCTTCTAGTTTATTGCTGCAATATATTTCTGTATAATTATTTAGTAATCTGTCCTTTATTATATTTATTGTTTTTAATAATTTTATAAGAATCTTTAGGGTTTTTATTTTTCATGTCATTTATAAACAGTGATAGTTTCATTTTGTCTTTGGATCCCTTTTAATTTCCTCTATTGGTTTAATTTATTTGATTAAGAATTTCAACACTATGTTGAATAATGCTGGTAAGAATGAATGTTCTTGTCTTTCTTGTGTACAGGAAAAACTTGCCTTTTTTCACTATTGAGTATGATCTTCTCCGGGGATTTGTGATATATGGCCTTTGTTATGATGGGGTATGTTTTTTATATCCTCATACTGCTGAGACTTTTTATTATAAATGGTTGTTGAATATTGCCAAATGATGGTATCTGTTGATATAATCATATGATTGTATCATTTTATCTTTCGTACTGATAACACGGTGTACGCATATTTTGGATCATCCTTGAATCCATGGAAGGAACTCCTTTTGGTCTTGATGAATGATTTTTTTTAAATGTATGTTTTATTTGGTTTGCTTAGATTTTGTTGAGTATCTTTGCATCTATGTTCGTTCTGCTGAGATATTGGTCTATATTTTTTTATTTTGTAGTGTTTCTGCGTTTGGTATCAGAGTGTTGTTGGCTTTATAAAATCTATTTGAAAGAGTTCTCTTCAACTTTTTGTAAGAGTTTAAGTATAGGTTCAGAAATATAGTACAGCAGATTGGGCTTTTTGTTGTACACAGCTGACTCAGGTTCAATCCATGTACCTCACATTGTCCCTTGATCACTGCCAGAAGTGATCCCTGAGAACAGAGCCAGGAGTGAACCCTGAGTACTGCCAGTTGTGATCCAAAACAAATACAAACCAAGAGCTTAAGGGTAGGTAAGATAGTAATAGGGCATCTTTGAAAGTTTGGTAGAAGTCACTAATGAAATCACATGGTCCTGGCCTTAATTTTTCAGAGACTCGCAATTTTCATTTTCTTCCTAGTAATTGGTCTATTTAGGTCTTTTGTTTCCTCCTAATTTAGCCTTTGTCTAGTGCTCCAGGTGAGCTTTTAGGGTTTCAAGACCCAGAGTGCCTTGACCAGCAAATAAGATCTATTGGACTTTTGCATAGGAACCTGCAGAGAACAAAACTCCTTAGTCTCTGCACAGTTCCAATTGGCATCTGGGTGACATCCAAAAGAACTGAGATGTCAAGTGCCTTGTACCAGCCTGGTGCCAAATGAAAGCATAGGCAGTGTGACAAGGGAATGTGGTCATAAGTGACTAGGACTAATGGTGGTGCTCAGTCCACGTGGATTTGAGGAGGCAGGTAAATGGGTGTTCATGGTCTCTACAGTGCTTGGCCCCTATTATGGTGCTGAGTCTGGAGGTCAGCCCCTGAGAAACCCATACCAGCTCAGGTCTGAAAGGCAACTGGACCCTCAGCCCCAGATGTTGACAGAACACATACCCAGGGCTGGCATGGAACAGAGTCTGGCCAGCTGTGGGCCAACAAGAAAGCACAGCAGGTGGTAGGGTAAGCCTCTTTGTTATGCTTTAGAACAGTTTGTTTGTTGCCTGAAAATTGATGGCTTGAGTGCTTGGTATCAGTCAAGGATCAGACCTGTTAGTCTCCCAGGAGAAAGCAGCCTTGGTAGCTGCCTCTCCCAGCTAGCTCCACTATTTGCTAGGGTGGGAGAAGCACTCCTCAGAAACTTGCCCTCAGGGGACTTAATACCATGGAGAACCAGGTGGGTCCTTGTGCCCTCTGTTATCAGGACTTTTCAGAGAGGTTATCAAAATGCTGCCTGACAGAAGCTCTAACTCCAGTCCCTTGCCTCCAGTTCCAGTTTCATAAATCAACACAGGATTGTAAGATTAGAGTGCTGCGAGGAGTGCATAGATGTTTGGACTTC